CAGCTCCTTGAGCTGCGTCATGCTCACCGTCGGCCAACGATCGCAGTGTTTCTTGGCCTTCTACTCAGTTGACCGCGAAAATCTCATGGGTCCCTTCTCCGAAGAGAAATGCTCCAGAAATACGGTTACTTACTGAGGTCACTATACTCACATACCTTCGTTCGTGTGAGGGTTTACAACAATCAAAGTAGGCCGATCGTCACCAGCAGCGGCGTTCGTCAAGGATTCTTTCTCTCGCCTTTCGCGTTCAATTTCGTCGCAGACAAAATACTGGAGAGCGCACTAAGGGGACTCCAAAACGTAAGTATTGAATGGACAGCTGGAGAAAAGATGTGCCATTTAGAGTACGCCAATGACATCGCCTGTCTGTTTGACTGTGCGGAGGACGCGCGAAGCGCACTTGGTAGACTAACAAGTGCCGTTGCCACACTCGGTATATGCTTTGCACGTTCAAAGTGCCAAGTGCTGCTGCAGGACTGGGTTTAGTCTACTCCCGCTCTGAAACTAAATGGTCAGGATTTAGTTATGGTGGATTATTTTTCATACTTAGGTAGTTGCGTGACCAATGACGGCAACGTAGCAAAAGAGATTGCCGCTAGCATTTCCAAGGTTCGAGCAGCATACGTAGGACTGAAACACCTTTGGCGTAGACGAGACGTTTCACTGAAGTTGAAAGTTGTGTATATTGTGCTAGCGTTCGTTCAGTCCTGCTTTTTGGCTGTGAGAACCTGAATTTGCGAGTCGAAGATATCCGTCGATTGGAAGTTTTCGACTATCGGTGTTAACGTAGTTTAGCCCATGTTGGATGGAGGAAACGGGTTAATAACCTGGATGTAAGCCGTCGTGTGTTTGGGAGTCTATCAGGTATAAACCTCCTAGCCCACCAAATTCAGATTAGTGGACTTAGCTTGCGAGGGCACATATTTTGTATGCCCAGATATCGGCGGCGGCACCGCGCTTCATTCGCTGTAGCTAATCCGGGCTGATGGAAACTACGTGGAAGTCAACAGATGACGTGGAAAAGAGGCATGAAGAAATGCACAGAACCATTAGGTAGAGTAGGTGTCTCTCGCCTTCCAGGTTGGGGTCCGAAAGACTCCACAACTGGTTGGTTGGAGACACTGAAGGATATGGCTGCAAACCGGCAACAGTGGCGTTCTTGTTATAGTTTCTTATCAGGTCAGAATGCTTGAAACGGTATGTATGCACATTTCGATTGCGTACTCTGTGTGTTGACCATAGTGGCTCATCTTCTCCCTTCCTCAAAATAAATCCAACCCCTGTCCACCTTAAATTTTATCACTAACCTTGTATGCATTGCTAGTTTGGCAGCGGTCAGTGAAATTCGCTTCACTGTATTTCGCTGTACGATGATAGATTACACTCGTTGGGGCATGTGTTACGCATGTCACTAAATGGGTTGCCTTGACGATCGATGTTTTCCGAGGCAGGTAGTGGGTGGTCAAAATAAGACCTATCAAGAGGGTATGAAAATACGAACAATAAGGCTCCGTCATATACGTCTTGCTAGCTTCCCCGGATTGAAACTTCGAGATTGTGGTAACCGGGGGTTTGAGACTCTGAGTGATATGACTGAGTGTCGTAAACATTGACATCTGTGCATCTTCTCAATTTCTTTGCAACTTTAGTTCACTGAAATTCTCCATTTTATCTTGGATTTTGCTTTCAACATTATTGTCTTTCTACCAAATAGGTAGCCAAACGACCGCAACCAAAAACGGCACAGAAAAGTGTATGATTATTGGTTGTACAGACTGAAAGTGAAATGAAAATAAACCGAATATACCACACTGATAATCCACTGGAGAAGACGAGGATCACCAGTTTCAGGAAGACAGATTTCAAGAAAAAATTCGAAAAGTGCATGAATTTGAGAGAAAAACGGTTGTCCAGAACACTCAATAAGTTGACATGATTTATTTTGGCTCAACTGTACCATTCCTAGGACTAATATACCGTCGAAAATATATGCGCAGATGAATTGATCGTCTCATATTTATAACAAAAGGATACATATATTTTAGGAAATATCTGAATATCAAAACTAGAGAATCCCTAAGTGACTTGTATTGTGACGTACTCATCCATTTTCGCTGATTTTGAACAACTGGACACAATCTGCTTTACCATACGAGTTCCATTTTATACTAGAGCACTTGGTACCTCGGTTTGTGTGGTACTGTTATCTTGAGTAGCCAATAACAGCTCATGCAAGCGGCTCAAGCTAAGTAGATCAAATTCTGAAATTGAAAAACACTGTGAATCGATATACCAGTTTTATATACAAAGAATAAATCACTTTCCATGGACCTTTTACGAATTATACATGAATTGGAAAAAATATGCCAAATTGATCCAATATATGAGGTAAACTTTTGCCTATGTTATCAGTTAATCTATGTTAAGGGTTATAAGATGACATTTCCAATTCGCAGGATAAAAACGCTGTTTTAGAAGAACCATATGTTTTTTGTCCGAGCTTTAACCAAAACCCTCCGTCCTTTGGACTTGACCCACTATCCTTTTGCCCAAACCCACAATGCTTTAAATTCGACGCACAAACTTTAGTCATACCGCTGTAGATAAATCAAATCAAAAAGTATCAGCATAGTTTGAGGTCACTCAATGTTGAAAAAATTTGTTTTCTCCAAATGGTGGTGTTGCATAGGTTGATAAAGAAATGAAAAGGTGCGGCAGTCGCATGCCGCACCACATGTTAATTGCAAAAGGTTGAAACAATGTGCCTGTATCGACAACCCATTTGACACATGTCGTACAGCTTTAGCGTTTCTGCATAACGTGAGATACTCTTGTAGGTAAAAATCTTCAATGTAACACAAACGGTGCATTGTTTTGCATTCATAAGCCCTAAAATAAATCAAAAATTGTTACAAGGAAGTAAATGCCTACCACTACGTTTTTCTACTTAAATTCATCTCTGTTGTCAGGTTGCAGATTTTGGCTAAAGTTTGATAGGAAAAATGGAGATTCATTGACTGGTCTGTCGCATATCTGCAATGGGTTTCGGCCTACTCACTTTGGGAACTCTCCATAGATTATATTTTGAACTCGCGTAATCAGTAGATGAGTAATGAACGGTCAGTAACTAAACCCTCTCTCTACTGTGTGTTGATTTCTTACAAAGTACACTATACAACATTAATATCGAACTGAAAAACTCTGACTGTTTGAAGCCATGTCCCCACTTTGCTCCTGTACTCATTCCGTTCATGCAAAATTTGCGTAAAAGTCCCTTATAACTCACAAGTTTGTTTTTCACTGGGACTGGTGCCCATGAAAATTCATGCTCACATTTTGTGACAAATTCCTTTACTGCCTTTGTATATTAATTAATTGCGTGACTTTGTCGCCTCCATCCTCTGCACGGTACGTCTTTGCAACATAGGGCCCTGCTACGTACGCATTCGTCCATCCGTTCCTGACGATCGTACAATCACGTGATGCAGCTGTTCGTACCAGACATGACACATCCTCACAGGCTGTTTTTGT